CCCAAACCATTCTGATTCTATGAAAGGATGAGAACTGCGACTGTGCAGCCTGGAGAAGACTCAGGCAGGGTGTAAGACAACAGGGCCGGGCTCTTTCCGTGTCTACTGACAGGGGAAGAGACAAGAGGCACAGAGAGACACAGGAGGCCCCTCCTCAATGCAAGGAAATACATTTTCACTGCGATGGTGACTGTGCACAGGGACCGGTTGCCCAGAGAGGTTGTGGAGCCTACATCCTTGGAGATATTCAAAAGTTGTCTGGACATGGTTGTGAGCAACTGACTCCAGGGGATCCTGCTTCAGCAGGGGATATGGAGATGACCTCCAGAAGATTCTTCCAACTACAACCATTCTGAGGTTCTTTGAAAACGCCCTCATTGTCAAAGACAAATACAGGGGTGAAACTGACCAAACGCACAAATAGGAAGATGTGTTTTATCTACAACAAATAATACTGTTCTATGTAAACAACAACTATTTTCCCACCAAAGTCTGATTTTTATATCTCAACTACAAGCAATAATGATTCTTGCATTTATCTGTCTCCTACATATTTAAAAAAAACAACTGGTAAACCATTTTGCATTGTCCTTCTTTCACTGAAAGATTGTAAAGAACAGCAATTTTCCCTCCACCTCCTTCCTCTGCTTCTTTGGAGCTATTTTCCCTGTCATCCATACGAAGAGTGCAACAGTACTATGAGCAAAATGGAGAAGAAAGAAGGCAAGATGGCCAAGCAACTAAGTTACATGGTGCTTGAACAGACAAAGTTTGGTATCTTCCCATTCTGCTGCGCAGGTCCACCTGTAAGCGGGTGTGTACATTTCTGGGGAGGAAAGAGGAAGTAGCATGTGCATAAATGTATGCTCGCAACACCAGCACACTCCAACTGTGCGGACCTGTGCTGCTGAGCAGAGTGAATTCCTGATAACAAGCAGAGTGGCAGGGCTCTAGCAACGGGGACCAGGGGCGTCTGCCTGAGGTATGAGATCTGGGGGATAGTGTTAAGAGAACTGTGGCTGCAGCTGGCAGAGCCGCAGCTTACAGAAGGTGCAAATGGTTTGGAGAGTCTAGAGAAGAGACTGCTGTGACCAGGGAAAGCTGGGTATGCATGTCTGGAGCAGGCAAGAAGACAGGGATATATGTGTGTGTGAATGGGGAAGCGGGAACAGGGCACACACCTAAACCACTGGAGAACCACTGAAAAAGAATGCTGTAATCTGGTAGCAGAAATCCTACTGAGAAACTCTGTCCTAACAAGCAGCTCTGCAAATGGATGATAATCACATATATTCCTTAACAGGAGCTGATCCACCTTTTTAATTTTATTAACAAGGTTGACACTTGCTTTACTGTTTTGTTTTCCACCAACTAAATTTAAGGGCAAACCCAGACTGCGTTTTTAAAGGTGACAACTCCTATGCAGCCTGTTTGTGGAAGAAATATTTAGGGCTGGCTAAACCCAAATGTATTACTCAGTAAACCTGGATGAAATCAAACAACAGCCGGATTATCTAACTTCCAGATATTTTTAACCCTTATTGTAAACAGAAATGGAATAATCCACTTCATACCTACAGTGCACATGGCGGCAATTAACTGGCTAACTTGGGTAAAAAAGCAACTGTGTGATACACACAGGATATCACGTACAAAGGCTTTCAGAATTCTTTTTTTCAGAGACCTGTAAGGAACACAACAGTAGATGTAAAATGTTTTTAGGGCTTTTTAAATCCTAATGACTGCATACAAATATAGTTCCCATGTATGTATTAAAAATGTATTTAATGAAATATCATTGGAACTTTTTTTTGTTTAGGATATGATAGAAGAACAATAAACTAAATAGTGATGAAGAAAGAAAATAAACAATCACTGATCTGTTGACTTACCTTTAATGACAGGGAGCCAGCAAGAAAGAAGTGGTCCACATCAATGACAGAAGCGAGGAAGCCAGCTAGAGTGACCTCAGTGAAGTCACTTTTCTTCCTGAGTCCAATCACTATTGCCCAGGACCACATTCCTAGTATCCCATGCACAGCATTATCAGAGAAGGCTCGGAGCCAGTCATTTTGCTGAATGAAGGAAAACTGCAGAAGTCTGTCTGCTACAAAGCAGAATATTCCCAAACCTAGACTAGAAATAACTGAAGCGGTGCTGAAAGTTTGGAGAAGAGCATGGGCCTTTTCAGTCTCAGATGCCATGGCAAAAACCATGTCACAGCACACAAAATGTCATCAGGATGTACACTGTGCATTGTCCTCTGTCTTGTCAGTTGCTCTGTAAATGTCAGAGAACAGAAAGAAAATTACTAAAGAAAAAAAGCCATTAGCACAAAGCAATTGTTATCACAGCTACAACTTAGAATAAAAAACCCAAATTCAATGTTTGCACTTAATATTCCCAGGGAATCTTTTATTTCAATTAACTTAGTTGACTTCAACACTACAGCTCTGAATTAAAACACTTGTCCTGTTTTAATTGGAACAAGCACCTTTTTAAGACTGAAATATCTAACTCCATTTTCTGAAATACTTCAGTATTTTAATTTCACAAAATAATCATGAACATGACCATGATAACACCTTGAATACGTTCCAAGACTCTTCCCAGTTTAAAATAAACAGCATCCATCAAATTAAATCCTTTATGCTGCAACACACACACAAGAAGATTTAATTTGGAGGATTCTTAGGAACAATGCTCAAAAATCCCAAATCTCCCTATGCAACAACTGTTAAAACTGAGTTCCTAATCTATAATCCAAAACATCACTTTGATTTACCTACTTTGTAAACAGACGTATTATCACCCGGGCACCCCTCTCGGTGCAACTCCTTGTTTAGGTTGGAGATTGACTTGTAGAATAAGCATTAAGAAAATCAGAACCACTAGAACATCACTACCATTGGTCGCAAACACAAAGACAACCACCACTCGGTCAAGCAGAAGCCACCAAAACTAACGCCTTAACGAGCAAAACTGCCTATGCTTTTCCTCAATATGTGCTTCGGCAGCAACCTCTACTGTTACTTTCAGGATTTGTCTATTGCCTGCCACATTACCTTCATAATAGCTCTTTTTTCAGAAAATTAGAAAATTAACTAATCCCAGTCATTTTAATTTTCAAAATTTGACCACTGAAATTTGAAAATAAAGGCACTGTTATTAGCACTAATGATCACTTAAAACTCCTCAGAAACTATTTATGTTCTGTAATTGTTATGAAATGCTCTTCTACACAGTGATTTTTTAGAAAAACACTCTTGTCCTTAAACAGCTGCTTGACACCTCAAAAGAAATTCCAAAAAATAATTCAAGATGTTAAAGGCACCCCCACCCCACTCCCAAGAAACAATTAGAGGGTACCCAGATTATAAAGACAGAGCACTCATTGTTTATGTGGTAACATTGAAAAGAACACTTTCGAATAAAGTGTTCGAAAATAAAAATCCACAAATAAAAGATGTATTTGCTAGCCTTGTTATGTTAAAAAACACTGAAAAGCAGTCTTTGAAGGACAGTATAAATCCCAACTGTCCCAACTGTTCTGCTCTTCTGTCTTTTTGGGGAGCCATGGAGATAGACCAGTTTCAAAGCCCACATCCTATCTAAAAATGGATTCTTCCTAAGAGGTTGCTATTTCTGTGAAATACATTAAATCTGGACAGTCCTTCTGCATGCAGTTCTGCCAGGTAGATTTTTATTCTAAATGTGCTTTTTATGAATGCAGTAGACTTCCTTTAAAAATTAATACTCCTAACAATGTTGACACGTAACAGTCTATGATTTTAAACACAATATTGATTATAAGCCCCAGAAAATACAAAATGTTTCTTCCAGCTTATTTACATGCTTCTTTAGGGTAGAATTATCCACAAGACACGATTACTGGCATTGATCTTTACAGAATGAAAGCCCACTGAATCATTTATTTGGAAAGCATTAAAAGAGAAGAAAGCATAAATAAAACATGGACTTTGCACACAGATGAGAAAAAGTGGGTCAGGTTTGGAGTCCATTAGCCATTACTGTGCCTATTCCGAACAAACATGTAGACTCAGTATTTCCTGAAGCACTGGAACTGCCATTTCCTAGTGGCTGTCTTTACAATATACAGTACATTTCTGAATAAATTCCACTTTAAGGAACAAATGGTGATCTCCTCACAAATGTTTCTTCTATATACCATCGTGTCAGATTAGATTTTATTTCAAACCATAAAATCTGTGTAAGAATCCAGTCCGATCTGATGTAGCAACAGACCTCTAAAAAGCACACCTGTATTCAGAATCAAACTCACCCTGGGACTAGAACATACTTTTTGCATCGCAGCTGCCTTATTGCAGTATCAAATGTGGTCTGTGCCTCAGTGTCGAGCCGCTGTACTTTCTGATTCCAGACTGCCCAGCCCAATAGGGAAGACCAAACACCATTTGTTCCATCCTAAACAAATTGAACCAGGCAGCAGTAAGCACCGGTACTGCACAATGCTCTTCAAACTCTCTATAAAACACACATGAAAACTCAACAATAGTCAAAAGACACAGAAAGAAGCAGCACCTTTTTAATGAATTCCTGAACAAATATAACTGAGTTAAATGCAACTTCAGCCAGGGCTTAGAAACTCTGTTAAAGGAAGCAGGAAGAAAAGACCATACAAGAAGAGAAGGGCACAAATAAAGATGGAACAAGATAATAATTAAAAGATCATAAAACCCTATATTGTAATGTCAGAAAAGGGCACTTCCAGACTTCTGTTGTACATAATTGCATTTCAGAACATACAGAGATGTTTTTCAGCAGATTCTTCCTTGAAACTGTGTGCCTTAAAGATTCCCACTGTCATGGTTTAATCCCACCCAGCAATCAAGGACCACACAGCCACTCGCTCACCTCCCTCCCCCCCGCTCCAGTGGAGGGAGAGAATCATGGATTGAGGTAAGAATTTAATAATTCAGAGTAAATGACATAAACCAGTTAGACCAATAGTACTAACCACACCAATTAAATTAGTGGAAAAGAAAACAAATGGTACAAGCGCTTACCACCCGCTGACTGACTGAGCACCAGAGAGCGCCGACCCCTGGCCCAACCCCCAGTTTTTATACTGGGCATGACATTTTATGGAATTAAATACCCTGCTGTCCTGACCATGTCCTCACCCAGCTTCTTGTACAGAGAAAGAAACACAGGTGCATTATCAGAAGCTGAAAAAGCCCTTGACTTGGTAGGAATACTCCTCAGCAACAACTAAAAACACCAGTGTTAACCGTACTTTTCTCAGCACAAATCCGAAACAGCTTCATACAGCTACTGGGAAGACAATTAACTGTCCTGCTATCTTTTATAGACAACAGTGACTGCTGTCCGTGTAAAAACTAAGTCACACTCCCAGGTACAATGGCATAAGTAGAGGTATTATGCAGATCAAGAGTGAAATCAGACTAGAAAAAGCAAAACCATGTTCAACCAAAATAAACTCTGAAATTAAAATTTTTAATGTGAAACTAGAAACCGTATTTTTTTGTCTGAAACATAATGAGTTTCAGCCTATTTAAAAAACATCATAATACTACTATCGCCACAGGTATACCTCTCAGAAAGCACCGCATTGGAACTCACAATCTCATTAAACCATAACAGTGGGAAATGGATGTATTACAGAAGAATGCTTAGAAACCCACGGGCGGGCAGCCCAGCTAACGTGCTGAAGGGAAGGGTTAAGTTGGGTTTATGTGAAACACGCACACAACCGCTGAGGGAGTAACACTGCTCAGAGGCGTGATTTCTCATGAAATGCACATGTGAGGTAAAGCATCATGCATAATCTTCGCCTATACCCACAAAATGCCATTCTGGTGGTATTTAATTTCGTTTAAGGAAATTCTAAAAATTACTTTAACAAATGCACAGTGAACACTGTAGCTTACCAACACAAGACACTCAGAGCAAAGCTGTAAATATGCATTTGGGGGAAGAGCCAACACTATCGGGCCTTTCAACGCATGGTGTAAGAGCAAACCGAAAACCCAACAGCTAGATTATCATTTAGAAAAATTGCTCCCCAAAATCTTAGTCCGATTTTGAAGGAAGTTACTGGGTACACTAATACATATAGGAATTTAATGGACAGAATCAGCAGAATTAAGCACTGTGTGCAAGAAAAGACTGCAGTACACCCTTATAATTCTATCATCTCCTAAAAAACACCCCAACTTACTGGATATTAATTTATATTAAAAACTCCACAAAGTAAAATTATCATTTCAAACCTTTAATGTATTATCTCATGGAAAAGCAGATCCTAGCCTAAAACAATCTGTGAAGAACTGATAATATTTTTGGGTCAGATAATTATAATGCATTATTAGGGTTGGTGGGTAGAAGATGACTGGAAAGAGGACAAAAGCACGCAAGATATCGGTAGGATTTTACCAAGATACTGAGGAACAAAACGAATTAAATCCACTAACAAGCAAAGCGCCTATAAAAAAAAATCAGGATGTAATTAAATTATTTCAAGGAGTATAAATTAAACCGTTTGAAAACAGCAAAATGCAGACCCTCTCCTCAACGAGTGCTTTGGAACTGAGATGTACCTAAAAGAAAGAGCTGGAACCAGTATCCTAGGAGTATTTAGTAACTCGAAACAGGCCGAAGTACTGTCCAGGGGAAGGAAAAAACCGGTTTTCGTCCTAGACAAAAAAAAAAAAAAAAGTTAGTTTATGTGTTACCCTCATTACCTACAACGGCATTCGGGTCATAAACAGCTAATCCACTTTAAGGTTAAAACACAGTCAGTACGTGTACCTAAAGAGAGGGGCGAAGGAAAGACAGGCATGCGGCAGCGACACGCGAAATTACAAAGATCAGCAAGAATTCTTACGTCTTGGGGAAAGGGTACGCTTTGTCTCAACACCGAGTCCCTCATCAGCCACGAAGAAATAAGGATCTAGTGTCATCTTTACC